CTGGCACTCAAGATTTTCGCACTCTTCCGTTAACTCAGTTCTTTTTTTTTTGACTTGCATTCCAAGTTTTTGCATAACTTGATTTTGCACCGGAAAGTGCGAACACCGTTAGGCTAAGAGCAGACTTGCAATTTTCAACAAATAAACACTAGTTTAAAGCAATTTTTGATAGCTTTAATGTCATTTAATGAGATCTTAATATTTTTTTGGCTGTCGTAAAAATGTTTATCGCTTATCCTTTTCTTTTCTTCATTTAATATTAAAATTTATAGTTGTTTATTGTGAAATAAATTGATATTCACTTATTGTAAAATAAAATTATATTTATTTATTTATTAAATTTATTATTTATATTTATGTATTTATTACGAGTATATTAAAAATTTGTTATTTTTATCATTATTATTATAAAATTTAAAACAAGAAACAGTCTGTTAAGCTTATTTACATGTAAACTCTACGTTTACATTGCTTTTATATATTTTTTAAAATGAATGTTTCATCTACAGTAGATGATCTACTGTTAATCCACACTGCCGACCAATATGATCGCGAGCACAAATAGACGTAATATGCACTCGAGCAGGAATGAACCTTAAACAGTTTTGCAATTTCTGTTCACATTTTCATTGCTTACGGTTTAGTTTATTAAACAAACATTATTTAAGTAACTGCAGTTATAAAATGTTGTGTGTAGATACAAGTATGTAGCAACTGTAAAAGAAATGGCAGGACTGTATCTGTAGACACATGAGTGCCAAAGTGGAAATAGCAGAATTTCATTATCTAAACGAAGCTTAAGTGTAAACGCGTCTTATTGGGCGCTTGTAAACATTGATTGCCTATCGATGGTGGCGCTGAGTGTGGAACTAAAGCACAGTTCGTTTATTGGCATCTGTAGAAATAGAATTGAGCTTAATTTGTGTGAAATAGGGTCACACAGGATGCCGGACATGCGGCAACGTAAGCGAAATTTGAAATCATTTCATAAGGAAATTGCAAACTGTAGTTGCGTAGTCGTTCGTGTCTTCCTTTTAGAAAATCATAAAAGATTTAAGCCGAAGTGCCAATGAAAATAAAATCAATGAACCTGTTGCAACTGGTCTGGCATGAAATTTCTGCTTACGCTTTTAAAGCGAATTTTTTCAAGAATTTACAACGTTTGTAAACCTCATTTTTTTTATATACTTTACACTGCCATGTTCCGCTTCCGGCCAAAAAGCAAAGTAAACCAAACACAAAGCCCGAATATACTGCCCACCCTTCAATTTTTTGATTTTTTTGTTTCTGGCATAAGAATCATTAAACTGATTTATATTCCGTTTGATTCAGTTTGTTGCTTTCACTGCATGCGTTTTCCGTTGCCGTTTTCCTTTTGGCTACACTTCATCTCTTTCTGTATATATATTTTTTTTCTGTGCTGGTCGCTTTTTGTTGTTGTGCCGACAGAACTTGAGTTCAAGTTTGATAAAAGGGTCGGCGCCCGTTTCGTTGTTTCATCGGGCACAGTAGTACGTACATACTAGGAGTGTACGAAATTCGATAATTCAAGTCAATTTCGCAGTGTGTCGGGCATGCGTTGCCATCGAATCGCATGTGTCGGTCGGGGTCGCTCAAGGGTTAAGTGATTTCTTTTGTTTTTCCTTTCTGCTCGCTCAACTGTAAAATAAAGTCGCATAAATAAGCAGAAGGCGTGCATCCAACTGCTGAAATGAGTAGTGAGTGCATAGAGTGCATAAAAAGAGAATTTAAAGCTCAAGAGTTGAGCACAAAAAATTTAAATGCCCTGCTGCCATTATTGATTATTTTTCTATATGGGTGACAAACCAATGTGGCTCAACCCATGTCGGCGTAGCGGCCTAATGTGCCCCAAGCTGTGGCTAAAATCTGACCCAAAACGCTTGCCCTTTTTGAACACCACTTCCCACTGCGAGTACCTTCCCACATCATTTTTGGAAGGGTTGCCGCCTGTGCCGTTGCTGGAAATTCAATTCAATTTTGTTGAAATGTTTTATTATATGGATTTTGTTGCTGCTGTTGTCGTGCCTGATTTTAATGTAATTGCCGGTAATAGCAAACACTTTTTATGGGCTAACAAGTTGGCATGTTTGCTGCTGTTGTTGTTGTTGTTGCCGTTGTCGTCCTTGGTGCACTCACGTTTCCGATGTTATCCCTGACCGCGCTTAATGTTCGTTTGATAATTTTGTATAGCACTTTTTAAATTCGACCTCTGAAACTTTATCGCTCGCACAAAATTGAATTCTAATTTGAAATTCGTTTTAGTGTGCGTTGTTTTGTGTAATATGAGATATGGTAAGTATATAGTATGATTTATAATTATACAAGTCAGTCAGTGGAAAATGTTGCTTTATTAAAAGAACGTAGGTTGAATTTTTATGCTTTCAAACTCACTTTGTAAAAAGAAACGCCAGCGTACGTGATTATTAACGATAATTAAAGATATGTTTATATAAATGACAAGCCAGCAACGGGAACCTAAATAATTTATTCATATTTTATTTAGTGGATCAAATAAATATATATATTGAGCTTATTAGAGGTTTGTAATTGAGCGTATTGCCTATCGGATTTGAGGATGGTGGTTCCCCTTGCGTCCCTTTGTAGGTTGTTTTGTGTACAACGTCGTGTCTCTTGATCTCATAGCCCGACCCCACCCTCAGGTATTTGTTTTGCAGCGATAATATCTTTGAATACATCGAATTTGCACCAATACTCCCAAGTCGGAATTTTGTTTTTCTACTGTTTCATGCTACTTACAAAATTTAAGGGAAGTTAATCTAAAATCTCGAAATCATCACTAATAAATTTTTTATTTATCTTTATCTTTGGATATAGAACCGTGAGTTCGACGCTCTAAAAGATTTGCCAAAAGATTTCTTGGCATTAAATACGAGCGTATTGTTCAGTAATTACTTACAGCAAAATCAAATCGAAAAACTTCTACCTATAGACTATAGCCCTTCACTGTTAAGGCACGTTGTAGGAATTTTAAGACCTGCTGATTACTCTTTGCTGCACCTCGAATGGAACCTTGAGTATGTTCACTTCCCATCCTTTAAACACTCAAAAAACCTGCTGCTTTATCTGATAAATTAATCACAATATCTAAAATACATAGCACTACTTTACAGACTTTGCATTCTTCAAATATTTTTAGTTCGGAAATGTTTCTAATAGTGCGCAGTTTTTATTTTTGTGAAATATAACGAACTATTGCTGCCAATGTTGGGCACGCGAAAGACTTCCTGTGCCGTCATCAACGTCGCTTTTACTAATTGTTTGTGATGTGTCTGATTTGGGTCCGGCATAACGCACGTATAACTCTGGCACGACAATAATTCTTCGTAGTAGATTCAAGTACATGCTTATCATTGCTGATATTTATCGGACGATGGTAAAACATTCAACGGTCTAGTTACAGCGATTGATATCGTTTTGATTGATAGCGAGGCATAGTTGAACATGTGTTAGAACATGTTCAATTTTATCGGATGGAGAACCCACGGTGGTTGTTGGCTGACGAAGTAGGCTTGACTTGATGGTAGCTCTAATTGGAAGTAGAACATGGACTCCAAAATATTGCTGCACCTATGGCTTTGTGCTCGTTCTTTTGTATCTTTTCAACATCACATTAAAATTTGGTAAATCTATTGAATATATGGAAATATAGGCTCTATTGTGTTTGATTTCAATATTTTTTTAATACATATTTAAATGCATATTTAAAAAAGGGTTATTATAATTTCAGATTTATAAATTGGAAAGTTTCCAGACCCGACTACTTGGTGCTTAATAAATATAATTGAAAAATATCTAAGACAACTATATTTTTTTAATCCACATTTTTGAGTGATTGATAAGCATTTTATCTGTAGAATCTTTTTTAAACATTTCACAAGCTCTTAGAATATGTTTTCCCTAAGAACAGCTTTCTCTTTGTTAGGCAAAGTCGAAATCGATTGATTTGTATTTGTATGTATAATCTAGTTATCTGCCGACCACAGCAATTTAGTTCCAAAATGGTTTTACTGCTATATTTGCCGCCAAGATATTCATGAACTATAAATAAATATATACAAACATATGGCATGCTGCTCATTTATTCCATTGTCTTTATGCTATGTGGTGTCGGAGCTTGTGGGTGCAAGTGTAGGTATACATCTTATTAATTAAACTATTACAAATTCCTTTGACAAATTAACGTCAACCGGCGATGACCGCACGCACACATAATCGCAATGTAGTGCGATGAGAAATTTGTCGGGGTATGTGTGGTGTGCGGTTTGAGACTCAGATGTATTTCAATGGGCACACAGTCAGGCTGGGGCGTTGCCACATCGTTGGCGGTCATTGCAATATTAATGCAAATGTTATACCAATGTGGCCATACCCACATGGCTAACTGTAGTTAACTAGGTAGGAGACTAAGTGAGGGAGGGTGGACCCCAATATTTGGTCCGGAATGTTCAAAATCATTTTTTAATTAATGTTCATTAATATTGGCGGAAATGTGGGTCCCCCAAATACCGAATGTTGACTTCCCGTGTCAAGCTCTTCAACAACAATTAATTGTATTAAAAAAATGAAAGAACCGCCACCATGTGATAAGATAGTCTCGACAACATCAACAGCCAGTCACAGGGCACATCAAAGACAACCCAAGTCAGTTCGCAGAGAACGCAGCATCTTGGGACCTGCACCAAGCAGTCAAAATCAAGGTTACAAGAGGAAATGTGTTATCAGCTCCCACAGCAAATCAAGCCAATGCGTATCTGCTGTAAAACAACCGAAAAGATATTGGTAAAAAAAAAGATTCGTATCGCTCAGGTAGTCGCAATCATATAAAAGTCAGTACCATTTGCGAAATCGTCATTTGAGTTCAACGTTTTGTACAAAACTTTGCATCTAGTTTTGGTTTGCCCGAAATCGTGAACAAGGAATAATTGTCGTCGCTCTCAAAAGGACATAACTCCTTCACCATGAGAGCACAATACGGTAAAAGGAATATTTAAGCGAACGCTTTGAACCAGATTTAAAGACAAGTTCTGTTCTTCGGTTTCTTCTCTCTGCAGTCTTAGCCACAGTGTGCTTGGCCTTCCTAGTGTCCGCAACAAGCGCCGCAAGAATAAATCCCTCATTGACAGCTCTCGATACCTCTGCATATCGTCGCGTACTATGCCTTAATAAGGCCAATGGATTCCGCGCTCTAGTGCCCGGCAGTTGTGCGGACTACTATGAGTGCCAGGGTGGCTCCGCTATAGTGGGCACCTGTCCGCGCTTCTTTGACCCAAAGGTACAAGACTGTGTCAATTACGATACGGGCTGCATCGTGATTGTTCCCTTGGGCGCCAATACTGTTGCTTCCCAGGATCCTTGCACATCCACACCACCATGTGAGACCACAACTCCATGTGTGACAACTCCTCCATGTGAGACCACAACTCCATGTGTGACCACACCTCCATGTGAGACCACGACCACATGTGTGACCACACCTCCATGTGAGACCACACCGGCCACAACTTCGTGTGTGACCACACCGGCCACAACTTCGTGCGTGACCACACCGGCCACAACTTCGTGCGTGACAACACCGGCTACAACTTCGTGTGTGACCACACCGGCCACAACTTCGTGCGTGACAACACCGGCCACAACTTCGTGCGTGACCACACCGGCCACAACTTCGTGTGTGACAACACCGGCCACAACTTCGTGCGTGACCACACCGGCCACAACTTCGTGCGTGACAACACCGGCCACAACTTCGTGTGTGACCACACCAGCCACAACTTCGTGCGTGACAACACCGGCCACAACTTCGTGCGTGACAACACCGGCCACAACTTCGTGCGTGACAACACCGGCCACAACTTCGTGCGTGACAACACCGGCCACAACTTCGTGCGTGACAACACCGGCCACAACTTCGTGTGTGACCACACCAGCCACAACTTCGTGCGTGACAACACCGGCCACAACTTCGTGTGTGACAACACCGGCCACAACTTCGTGTGTGACAACACCGGCCACAACTTCGTGTGTGACAACACCGGCCACAACTTCGTGTGTGACAACACCGGCCACAACTTCGTGCGTGACCACACCGGCCACAACTTCGTGTGTGACAACACCGGCCACAACTTCGTGCGTGACCACACCGGCCACAACTTCGTGCGTGACAACACCGGCCACAACTTCGTGTGTGACAACACCGGCCACAACTTCGTGCGTGACCACACCGGCCACAACTTCGTGTGTGACAACTCCGGCCACAACTTCGTGCGTGACCACACCGGCCACAACTTCGTGTGTGACCACACCGGCAACAACTCCATGTGAGACCACACCGGCAACAACTCCATGTGAGACCACGACCACATGTGTGACAACTCCTCCATGTGAGACCACGACCCCGTGTGTGACAACGCCTCCATGTGAGACCACGACCCCATGTGTGACAACGCCTCCATGTGAGACTACACCTCCATGTGAGACCACAACGCCGTGCACCCCGACACCACCCTGCAACACGGCCAACGGTGCACAAATCGTCGCCTCGAAGCTTAATTTTAGACCAGCAAGACCCGCACTGGGACGCCCTCTGATTGAAGCCCAGAAGTTCAATCTGCAGAAGCCTCAGGCGACCTCTCATGCGGTTAACATCAATACCTACACCAACTACGTGTGCGCTGACAAACCCGATGGCTTCATGCTGGCGTCACTGAAGAGCTGTAACGACTACTATATCTGTCGCTTCGGCAAACCGATGTCGGTCAGCTGTGGCCAGAAGTACTTCAACGCTCTGAAGGGTATGTGCGATTTGCCCGAAAATACCCGCTGTGTGCAGCCAATAGTCTAAGGATCAGCAGCCGCAACGCCTTTGTAACACAACTAACAACGACCACCACCCTCTTTTTAACTAAAGCAATTGATTTTAAAACTACGAAGTACTTACAAGATAATAAGATTTACTAATATACCAATATAAATGCAAGCAACAGCTTAAACAGGCTATATGAAAGCACTGAAATATTTTAATTTTTTGTAGACATACTATATAAGCACTCAGAAACGAAGTGCAAGCTGGGTCTTATCTTCAAATTGTTTTTAGACCCGTTTGCAGTCAACAGGTTGGGTCCAGACATGCAATTCTTTCTATTACAAAGACTGAGCTTTTATAGTTTTTCCATAGGTATGATGTCCTGGAGTTTGTTTGCAAATCAAGTGGGTCTTGGTCCATCACTCGATAACCATGATTTAGGGCTTCCGTAGATAGCCAGTTGCAGAATTAGAAATTGTGAAGTCCCTCCATATAGCTCAATTCTATATAAAGATGTTCTCGGAGAATCAACATCTGATTCGCAGAATAGGCCATTGTGCCAGTTTCTGATTACAATTTTTGGTCTAAGAAGCTGTTTTTCAATCAATCCAAGTGGACTTTTAACGAACAATAAAGTTCAGCTTATGGGTCTGAACCTTCAACGTAGGGACAAGCTTCCTGACTTGAGGATTTTTTGATTGAGTACACTACGTCTGATCTTGTGGACTTAAGCCAAGTTCCTTAAACGATCTTAAATCTAAAATCAAGCTTATCCAAGTTGACTGCTTTTTTAAACTAGTAATACAGGACTTGAAGTCTGAATCTTTTCGTTGGTAATACTTCCTTGAACAGTTCAGATTAAATAATTTATTTTGCCCCCGAGAAAGTTCCGCCGAATTAAAGAATAATATGGAATTTTAAATTTACAAATAACTTTTTTACTGTGGCACAGAAAAAGTGATGATTGAATGCTGGTGATGTGATTTCTTACCCGCCTACGTAAAGGGGCGTTACATTTAATTACTTTTTCTTCTTCTTTTCCCTAATGCAACCACTCTGACCACATAGTAGCATGATATACTAATTTTGTTGGGGCGCACTATTATTACCCACGTAAATGTGGCTAGCCATGGCAAATTACTCTACACTTAAGTGGGTGTAAATGGGGAAAAAGGGGGAGCAAGGGTGCTACATACATATTTCAAACTGGCTCTAAAGCTCATATGAGCAAACGTCAAAAGGCATTTAAGGTACTATTTGCACAACGTGTCGGATTGTCTACTTACTAGACATTTGTATGTGTGGCCCCCATGGTCATGCTGCCCTCCAGAATTTTTCCCCAATAACAGCGTCACAGTGCCATTAAAGTCAAGCACTGTTAGTTAGGCTTTACAAAAATGCCACAACAGGATTTGGTATTTCGCACAGCCGACAACAAATACAACAACAATAACATCAAAACAACAAAAAATGGGCCACCCAGAGAAGCTACTAAAATTGACCACAATGCGCTTTCAGGGCTTAAATGTTAGCCGCAATGCGAGAGTTTTGTTGTAACACATTTGAAGGGTGGCTAGCCTTTTGTCCTCTAATTTTTATTTAGGGGTTAGTTACGCTGTTGGCGTGGCAAATGTGTGGCCAAGGTTGTATTAACAGCTTAGTTTTCTTGTTCGTCTATTCATAAACCTGCAGCTTAAGCCAAAGCTAGGCCTGCTCGTCCAAGTTGAAGGTTGTTTGGATTGGAAAATGTGTTTTTTGAACAAACTCGACAAGTACCGTGCATAAATACTGTTTTTTAACTTTCTTCATTTACTGATGCTGATGAGGAATGCAATAAACATAAACATTGCAAATATAATATTCAAGTTAAATTGGAAACGCAAATTTAAATATTGCGTCATTTGAAAGAAAGGAGAATGAAATGCCAGTGAAGCAACTTCAAAACGAAGCTTAAAAATTCCTTAAATTTCACGGTTACAAATAATATAACTAATAATATAAGCCATGCCCCTGTGACCGCCTTTGTTTTTTCCAACTGCGGAATTTGTATGAATCATCAAATCAGTTATGGCATGTCACTATAATTTTAAAAATTAATATCACAAGCCATACAATTGTGGGGTACTGCTAGCAACTCGAATATTATAAACAAATAATAAATAAATAAATATAACCACGGAAAACCCCTACACTAAAACCTAATAGATAATAATCTGCCAGTAAGAAGACTTAAAAGAATACACATTCTTGATCTCCGAGACAGATAAATCAAATAAATTATATTTCCACGTAACGTAAAAAATAAGTAAAATTTAAAAGTAGGTTTCACTGGAAACTTTATATTCCTGTTAATTTTAATTACAAATAAATAAATGTACTCTTTGTCTCGAGGCAGAGTGTAATTTAATAAAATGTAATACTAAAAGTAATAATTATAATATCAGCGCTAGACAGTGCTGTATTTTTCCTTATCGATTGCACTTAAGAATTACTTCAAATTCGTTTCATTAAATGAACATCAGCGCATAATGTGCAGAAATTTGTTTTGCTGAACTGAACGCCATTTCCGGCGCACTTGAAGTGGGCGGCCATAACTTTTGCTCTGTTTAACAAAATAATTAAACATTCAAATAACACACATATGTAAGTACAGTTGGGTATGTACGTGTGTGCTGTATGTTGATGTGTGGTGCTGCTTGTGTCGCGTTGGCGCCTAACGCTGTATCTCTTATGTTAATTTAGGCAACACCAAACAAACTTTGGTGCTAACTGCTAAAAGGGTTTCGGTGCTTCAAAAATAACAGCAAAATATAAATAACGTGACACACCATGACATTGTGAGTAAATGGAGCGCTTTCTGCTAAACCACACCACCATGCACGAGCACTCGCATGTATACAAAAGTATATGCCCGTAGAATATAAGTACATATACAGAGACCCATAGCAGTCAACAGAAACGACAGTAAAAGGCTAAAAAGTAAAATAAGCAGCGCCAACAACATGACTTTCAGTTTCTTTTACTTGGCTGTAGGCGCACTGCAAAGTAAACGCAGACATTTTAGCCGTCAGCCATTTACATACTCGTATATCCAGCCAGCCATATTTATCCTGTCTGTGTATGTGTGCGTGTAAGTTGGACTTCTGGGGGGAAAAGTTTGGGGTGCCGACAATCAAAGAAATGGAGCTTCATTAAATAGAGGAAAACTGTTATTTTGTGTTATTGAAAAGACAATCTTATTGCAGTTATTAAACTATTTGGGCTTTCAGAAAGCATGGACTAATTTTCAATACTTTCAGTACAGAAATCCTCTAAAAAGTTAGCCAGCTTAAGTTATAAAACAAGCAGAAGCCATAATTAAACAGCTACTTGGATAAGAAATTTTAATGACACAAAGCAGCGCTCTGCAGGGTACTGTTTTCTTAGTAATACGTATATATACGATAACTGAACTGCAAAAGGTAATCGACGTTTTAAAAACTGAACTTTGTTGCAAACCAGAATACAAGTTCAACAATGAAAAGAAACATCTGCATATGGTTTTATAAATATTTCCACTTCCCAGCTCTTTTCTACTATATTATAGTTTATGGTTTTATATTTTTACCTTTTAAGGTCTAGAAATGGTCCTGAATTTATCCTTATTACATATTGTATTTAAGATACAAATAAAGGAACTGAACTGCACTGTACCTTTACCGATTGGTATTACGAAATAACGAGCAAATATCAGGAATTACTTTCCCTCTTGTATTCGTGAATGTTTTTAAATAAAGGTCACGAAGTAATGACCTTTAGTGATGGCAGTAAGTTAGTAACAGGTAGTACAACTATAATATGATGGATTTCTTCCATTTTCACTGTTAAATAGTCAAACCATTTGTAATTGATCGACAATTCTAAGCCACATTCAAACTATTTTCAAGACTGTCTCTCTGTTATTTTGAAATAATGACAAAATATCGATTCTTCTTTTGAGCTATTTATTCCTCCACTGCTTTCTGAGCCACCTTTCAATAAAGCCCTTCAGGATGTTTATAAATACTTGCAATTGATTATATTATAGTTAGTCACCACTTCCCTCAATAAATTAATTTTTTAAAATCAATATTTATTGTTATTTAATGAATTGTTCATAGATACTACAGATTTATAGAATCGTATTCATAGTCTTCTTCGTTTACATAGCATGGCATTGGCGCGTATCCGTGCAACGTGATGGTAAGTCATGGAAATTGGCAGGCATGTTCAGATGGAAAACCTGAGAAGGAGGAGGAGGGGAGAGAGATTCACAGCAATTTGTTATTAGTTAGTCCCAATACTCATTTGAGGCAGCCCCCCGTCGAGTGTGTAACAATATTTTTCAGGCTTTTTCATTGCTCCTGCAAATTGCTGCTTGCGCATAAACCAAGGCACAAAAGCACTCGCACTGCAGGCATCTTGGCTAAAACTCTGGCAACAGTCAAATAAACAATGAACACAAAGCGCAAAAATTTCGTAATAAAAATCGCACATCCACACGCCCAAACATGCTGCATACACATGCAGTTGCCACCTGTGTACGTGTACGAGGCATCGCTTTCTTCTGCGCTTTGTTCACAGCTCACAGTTAAAATGAATGTTGGTAACAGCCTCGGCCACGGCCTCAGACTAAAATGAAATCCGCTTTAACAGCGCACCTACACACAGACACACTGCCTTCCATATGTGGGCGGCATGCTCTGTCAGCCTTCAATGGCGCAGCAGCAGCAGCGGCAGCAGCCGGCAAAGAATTCAAATTAGAGTTTTGTTTACGAAACGACGCCACCCTCCCCTCCCCACCCCACCCCAAACGAAAGCTCACGAGTTATTGAATTGAGCCCCTCCTTCTCGCGCTCATTCACATCCCTACAGTCCGCCTGTGTTCTTCTCTTCATCGTCGCCGTCAAAGGTGAAGTAAATTTTTTATTGGCAACGTGCGGTGCTTTGTTTCAACTGTCAAGCAATTTTCAATTTGCCAAGCACACCCCAACAACATCAACCCGTTATTTGGTACTCACCTAGAGTGCCGATATGTATGCCTTAGATTAGATTCTAGGAACAATGGGGCTAAGAGGAGGGAATTCATAGCTGTTAGTAGTCCCGCTCGCGCTAACTACAAACCCATTTCGGCCATACCTGGTGGTGTTCGAGTTGCGCTTTTGCACTGAAATGAGTTCAGTTCTACCTGAGCTGCAGCGCGGATTTTATAGCGCTGCTTTAATTTTGATTGTCAGAGCCTTTCCTGATTTCCTTCTGAAGCAGGCGCGTCCTAGCATGTGTACAACCCGTACGGCCAAAAGCAGGGGCCGCATGGACCTGGTCCACAGGGCCTACCACAACATGGTCCGCAACAGGGTCCGCAAGGTCCACAACTGGGTCCACAGCCGCACGAGAAACCATAGCAGGGTGAGTAGCACATGCTGACCTGGTGGGTTAATAATTACGCGTGACTTTCGGAGAGAATAAGGAGGTGAAATACCCACCAGCCTTGTCTTCACAGAAATAGGATAATTTGGGGGCTCTTAATTTGTATTTCCTGAATGTTTGCGATCGAAATATCTAAATTTTATTTTAAAACTTTCAGCCTAATGTGGCCCAGCCGAAAGCTCTAAACACAAAATTTATACTGATGTCATAAATATAAGTGTATAGGTGGAAATACGTAATAAATCGATTTCTAAATCACTGCTTACTTCGTTTGAAATCCAGGCCTTCTAGGCCTTACTTACTACTACAATAAAAGTATTTAAATCATTTAGGGTTTTTAAATATTGCAAAATAAGAGAAAAGGAGATTCTCTATTGGTTTAAAACTTTCTGTTCTTCTTGCTAGCACATGTGTAAATGTTTCAGAGACGCCCCCGGGTATGCAACACATTTTTCTGCATTCTTTAAGCGCAAACTAATGCCGCAACTCATGTTGCTAACAGCTCCAGCTAGCACCTAACTAAAGTTGAGAGCAAGGCTGAGAGCGCGCGTAATTATTATCCCTGGGGCCAGCTAACGGTGTCAGTTGTCAGTGGAAAGCAGCAGCAGTAACAGCAGCAGCTGCAGTGTAAAAATTTTTACGACGTCATTAACCCAACAAGTAGTTTCCGTTACAGTGGCTGGGAATAGTCAGCCAGCTAGCGAGCGAGTGAGCAGTGAACTAGTGGAGTCGGCGCTTATGTAAACGGGTTGCATACATACATACACACACACACACACCAAGTTGCATTCCGCCAGACAGTTATGCGCCTGAAAATATGCAATGCAAAGGAGCTGTTGGCAATCTGTTGGGGGCGTTCCACAGGGCCACAGCACACGGGCAGTTAGACAGAGACATTTTTGCAGGGCGTAATGCACTGCTGGGCAGATGTTGTTGCAGCTGCTTTTGATGCTGCTGCTTAAGCTTGATTCTGACAGTTGGTAACTAGAAGTGTTGCCTCGCTTGGTGGCGACAAAAAGGGCCAGAGAAAATCAATACAGGTTTCAAATTCTGCATAAATATGTATGCGTATACTTCTCATACTAAGGCTTAATAATTCGAAAATATCTTGAAAAACTTGCAATTAAACGATGTAACGCAATGGATGTTAGACAGAAATCATTCTTGCTACTGCAAAGCGTATAAAAATAATGGAAAAGGAAATGAAAAATGCAATTATTTTCCAAATTTTCTTTGTTGTTCGAACAAATATAGGTTAGCACTGTGCTTGGAAAATTGAAATGAAGCGATCTTCGAGCTAAATGGATGTAAGAAAGAAACCATACATGGAGTGTCCTCGCTTATATTTAATTCACATCTATTTCTTATATATTGTTTAAAAATAGAAAAATATATTAATTAAAAAAAAGCCAAATTAAGGGACAATAGCTGAAGACTTTTGTTCTTAAATAAACGCAAATAAGGCTAAACAGGCAGCACTGCTTGCCAGTTGGTGGGCATGTTCCACTTGGCTTGAAAGTTTGTTACCGGTTTGGTGAGTTGACTGTGGAAAAGGGGTGTTCGGCGGCAGCTTTGGGTTGGGGGTGCTGACAGTAAAATGCAACAATTTCCCTGTGGAATACAGCACAATGCAAATAATTTAACAAGTGAGGCAGTGGTAGCTAAAATGTGTATGTGTTTGCCGAAAACTGAGCTCACATTCTTGAAACGTACTTCCAAAATGTTGGCAGAGACCAAAGTGAGCTGAGCAGAGCACAGCAGAATAGAGTAGAAATTAGTCAGGTTTTCTGTTTTCGCACGATTCTAATGCCATCAAAGCTATCATTATTGCAACATTTGGCACAACTTTAAAGCATATTCAGTCAGCTATTAAATTCAATTATGCCAGCAATATTGAATCAACACGAATGCTGACAACTAAACCCCTCAGCTGACGATTCTCGCACAGCTGTCGTGTAAATATTTAATTTACGAAATTCCATAATAAAATTTCTCTGGCTGGCACCTTCTGCTGCTACTGCTGCTGCTGTCTTTGCTGTTGTTGCTGTTGGTATGGTATTGCTTTAAGGCAGTCGGATTTCATTTCGCAAGCCAATTGTTAAGCAAGTGTCAAAATAATAACAAGCAAACCCACCCCCCCAGAACCACCCAACCACTCGAATCCTGAACTATTTATGAATGTGCAGCCTGCCAAGTGTCAAAATGTTTGAGCAATTTTTTATGTTAATTTTCTATTAATAAAATAAATATTAAATCAGTGTGAGGGTGGCAAATCTTTAGAAAGCAAGCGAGCGGCGCCCTTGCAACCACACCAGCAGCGCCCATCCACCTAGACGACGACTTTATTAGTAGAAAACCACTAATTTATCCCCTGAGACATCCCTTGCTGCCTGGGAAGCCACGGCTAAGGCAACAATGGGTCACGCCAAGCTGTCGCGCAGTCTCTGGCTCCCCCTTTCTTATACTGCTGTTGCTGCTGCTGCGACCGCTTTCTTTTCCCTTTCATACCCTGTAATTCAAATACGGGGTATTTCTACTTAGCCAGCATACTTGTAGATGTGAGTTTAACAAGGCTACATAATGCAATAGTATTCTAAACATTTTTAAACATTTTTTTCGCCCAAGATGCATTTTTTATCTAGTTAGATCAACTTAATTTTAGGTTTCGGGCACAGCTGACATACAAATTTTTATTGTTATTCATTGAAATTGAAAAGGATTGAAAACTGAAAATGAATGAGTTGAATTCAAATTAAGGATAAATGACACTGAATAATAATTAACAATCACATTTTATCAGGTGATTTAACAAGGCGCGATTCAGGAACGAATCGACAAGAAATATATGATTTTTTTAAAATCTCTATAGTTTCTTACTGCAACTGATGGATAATATATAATTATATATTTATAATATTTATACATAATATACATTTCTTTTAAATTCATTCTTTTTTAAAATTTATTTAAGAATGGGTTTCTTAAACTTTTGCCTAGTTTATTGATTTGTTTGAATCAAGGGCTTAACATTGATTTAATTATTCAATAAAACTTGGCTGACATGGATGAAAGCTATTGGCATTTGAAACCTTTTAACATTTTTATTTTTTTTGTATTTGAATAGAGTACCCCGTAGTCTAGTATAGTCTAGCTTTCTTCCTGATTGTTTTCGTTTTTTTTCTTTTCAACCACCACTGCACTGCGGGTGGCAGTTTTGATTGGAGCTGCTTTATGTTCCTGCCTGCCTGTCCGCCTGCCTGTCTGCCTGCCTGTCTGCCTGCCTAGCTTGGCCTAATTTAAATTTCATAAATTTAATGCGTGCAGTGCATTCTGAAGTCAGTGGAAGACTTTAGCCAATTTGCTATTTTATTATTACATTTCTTTAGTCTGGGGCCTTGAACTGTGCGCAGTCAGCTGTAGATTTTTATGACTCTGGCATTTGTTTTCTAATTGTTATAGCGGCCGAGTGCGACAACTGTCGTTTCTGTTGGCACTTTAACCCTTTGCTGGCAAATTTTCTAGGCGGCTGTTGCTTAGCGGCTCATTAGTTCAGTTTAATGGCATGCAGAAAGTTTCGTAATATTAAAGCGGCACCCAAAAGCACCCCATGAAAAAAAAAGGCGTAAAGCCAACCAAATCTTTATAACAGGAGCTAAGCGCCGACGAAGGTTTTGACTAATAATTGTAAATAATAATTAATATAATAATTAACAAATAATTTCATTTTTTTAAAACATGAATTTGATCGAAGAAGTATTGAAGTTGATTATTATTATTATTATTTGAAGCATATTTTTTTGTTGGTGCTCATCCCTTAAAGCAGCAACAATAATCGTAATAGAGCAGTAATACCTTAATCCTTTACACTTAACTGAAATGCTAATATTTCCTGTTTTGTTAACAAATATCAGTGTTCTAATGGGAAACATAATTGTAATATCCAATACCTATTTTCAGATATAGACTGACCTATACAATTATCAGTCTTGCTTACTTTTAATTAAAAGAAGACTTTTTTAAAAACTTATGAAAAATAGTAAAAATGATGAAATAGCAATAAATTAATACAGCATGTATTTAAGTTCAATAATTAACTTCATTTTTGTAGCATAGTTCATCGCCAATATGTAATCCTCATCATCAATTCGAGTTTTAATGAAAGCTGTGCCAAATTTATTAATGAAATACTTATACCCTTAAACCTTTTCATTTAGCATATGTAGAGCGTGGTATTTGATACAAAATCTCTTTAATTTCTCACTAAAAAATTGGTCGAGCTTTGTAAATCGTTTAACTCCTATCCCTATATTGCATTTTATTGGTTAACAATTGAAACTATTATTGTTCCCATAACAGCTATAATAGGATATACTCGTATACTAGTTATATGCATTTATTACCACATGCCGAGCCAAGCTTGGTAGTCCATCTACTACTCAGCGGGGTATAATTTTCTTTACACTTTCATTTTAAGCTTTTCTATTTTCCATTTATATTTGTGTTTGCAAAACGTACAGCACGATCTACACTACCTGGCTGTGATAGAGTTACAAAATCCATCTGTAACTCAATCGATTACATATTCTTTCTGGCATTGCTGTGCCCCTCCTCTGCAGTTTAAAATTTGTATTGAAACACATGAAAATATGAGTTCATGCTTTAGACTTTAGGAATTAAAAAAAAAACAAAACTCACGGTCAACATGAATTTTCTTTAGTCGCCGTTAATTTCTTGAGCTGCATGCAAATCCTTTTTGAATCAAACAACTTGATATTTTTTTTAATACTGTTTCTTATTTATTATATAATAAATTATATACAATAAATGGTCGGTATCTCGCCGCTGAGAGGTTTTAAAAATGGCATTCAGCAGGACGTGTGGTGAGGCGTGTTTTCAGAAAGGTGTTTATAGTTCTTTAAGATCCAAAGAATTTAATATGTTTTACTTGATAGTTTATTTTTTTCTTTC